GCATCCCTGAATATGAATAAAACAAAAAAATCAAATAAAAAGGGGAATAAAAAAAATGGAATAAACAACGAAACAGAATTCATAAATCTGCATATGATTTCAGTTAGCAACAGGGGGGAAGGCAAGGGGTGCAAATTCGTGATTCTTTCAGTGAAATATTTTATAGAATTTTCTTTTAAATAGACAAACTGAAGTTGTACTGGATGTCTATATATGTAAGCGGGATGAAGCCAGTCTGACCAAGGCTCTTTATATACGGGAGCTGAAGTCAGGCTGTCCAGCGAGTTTATATACAGATCTGGATTATATCTGTCAGCTGGCCACAGAGTATACATGGAACCCAAACTGACCAAGAAGTCAAATCTAGACGATCTGAGGCCAGGCCGGTCAGAGATAAAAAATATCCACCCCTGCAACTATGATAGTCCTTCCTTGTTCTTGGGAAAGTCTTCCCCTTCACCTTGTAATTGTAATATATATGATTTTCTGTATATAATAATTGCCTCTAAAGCGACTAGAAAATCTGACAAAATTAAAGTTTTCGGTTCATTGCACCCCCTGAATGAAATCTCAACTTCACCGAAAACTATAAGCGTCGTCCTGGACCATAATCGGTACTTCATGTACAATTTCAAAGCGATCATCGCGACATTTCCGTTCTCTAATGGAGTAATAGTAATAATATGCACATAGTCACTTTTACTTAATTACGTATAACTCCCGCATCGGAGTACATACAGCCATATAATTGGTATCAATTTGAAGGTCAACAACTCATCTTGGACATACTAGTATATACGTCCCAGAATAAAAATTTTGTAATTTTTCACACAAAAGTCAGGGTTCATTTGACCCGCTAAATATGTGCCGACCTTTATCAAAAAAGGCATGCTTATTCTTAGGCCCGATCCCCTTTTCCATGTAAAATTTCACGATGTTCGGACCATAACTGCGGCCTCTGGAGCGACCAGAATAACCCACAAAAAATTAGTATTTGGTCCATTTCATTCCCTAAATATTAACCGATCTTTATCAAAAACAATAGGGGTCTTCATTGACCAGAACCCATCCTACATGCATTTCGTGAAGATTGGTCCATAACTGTGACCGGTATCGTGTTTACAAATTATAATGGACAGACGGACGGACACACATGCCTAGATCGGCTCACCTAGTCGAGATATGGCTATCGGTATACTTAAAGGTGGGTCTAGGACTAATATTTCGCGGCGTTACAAACTTTTGGGGCTGCACAAAGCTATAATACCCTGACAACATAGTTGTGTAGGGTATAATTATTAGGCCTCCGATATCCTTAAACAAATAATAACTAATTCAGGACTTTTATCGAAATCTTTTTTTAATATGTGATTAAAGCTCCACACTTATACATATGATAGTTTTTGTGAAAAATATTAAAAAATTTAAATTATCCAAAAAAAAAAAATTCTTTAGAATCCTGTAGTTGTTCTTCAACAAAAATCCTTAATGCTTCAAAGACCTCAAACATCTTTTCTCTAGGAAAGTGTGGAACATTAAGGGTTGGCCTTAATAACCATTTGTTGTCCTTGTGAAAAATCTTTAATTCTCCTTTGGAAATAATCCTTAAAATTCTAGCTTCTTCCCCTTGAGAAAAAATTCTCTAGGATCTTTAATTGTCCCTCAGAAATAAAGTTCTTAAAATTTCCTTTTAGGAAAATTTCTTACGGCCAGTTATTGACCCATCTAAGAATGCAGTTTAGTCCTTGAAAAATACATCCTTAGCAATTTTTTATTGTCCTTTAAACTAATATTCATAAAAATCGACAATTACAGCTATAATAGTCCTTGAGAAGGAACCCTCAAATATTTGTAATTGTCTTTGAGAAAAAGCATCATTAAAAACTTGTGATCGTTCTTCAGAAAAAATCTGTAATTATCCTTGGAAAAATTCACGCTTACATTTTAATTGTCCTTATGAAAAATATCAAAAAAATGTCACTCCATTCGTCAAGTTCTTGAGAAACAAAATGATCAGTAAGACCTTGAGAAAAATTTCTCCAAAAAGGTTTTTGAGAAGAAAAAGACGTAAACGTTCACGCTGAGACCTTCAGAATAAACTCTTTAAAAATCCTCTATTATTCCTTGCAAATACAATTCCTTAAACATTCACGCTTAGTTCTCGTGAAAAAAATCATTGGAAATCGAGGCTTAGTCCTTGCGAAATATCTTTAAAAATCCGCACTTATTCCTTCAAGGAAAAAACATAAAAAAATCCCAATGCAAAAATCCTTCTAAATCTCTGCTTTGTCCTAGAGAAAACCCCACTTTTTGCACATAAAAAAATTATAGCTTAGTTCTTTGAGAAAATATTCTTTAAAAAATTCACGCTTAGTCCTTAAGAAAATATTATTTAAACAATCCACTCTGAGTCCTTGAGAACATATTCTCTAAAAAATACACGCTTAGTCCTTGAGAAAATATGGTCCTTGGAAATATTTTTTTTCCCAAAAATTCAAACTTCGGCATCTGATGATCCCTAAAAAGGTTTTCTTAAAGAATCAAAGCTTGAGAAAATGTTATTTTTGCTAGTTCTTCAAAACAATTGTTTTTATACCCTCCACCATATTATGGAGGGTATATTAATTTTGTCATTCCGTTTGTAACTCATCGAAATATTCATTTCCGACCCTGTAAAGTATATATATTCTTGATCAGGGTAAAATTCTAAGACGATCTAGCCATGTCCGTCCGTCTGTCCGTCCGTCTGTTGTAATCTATCTAATCTATCTTCTGAAGGAATTGAGATAAGGTGCTGAAATTTTGCATAGGGTTGTCTTTTGTCTGCAGGCAGGTCAAGTTCGAAGATGGGATATATCGGTCCACGTTTAGGCATAGCTCCCATATAAGAGTACCTCCCAATTTTCGGTATTTTGGGGTTCTTGAGCTCGTTTTTCAACCGAATACGCTGAAATTTGGTACATTGAGTTCTTATTGGGTACTAAATGTCTCCACAAAAAATTATAAATATAGGTCCACTTTTTCTGGTAGCCCCCATATGACAGTACCTCCTAATTTTAAGTATTTTTGGGGTTTTGATCGTATTTTTCCACCGAATTGGCTGTAATTTAGTATTTTGAGTTCCTAAAACGTACCAAATATCTCCACAAAAAATTATAAATATAGGTCAATTTTTTCGGATAGCCCACATATAAGGGTACCCCCAATTTTCGGTATTTTGGGGTTCATGAGCGCGTTTTTCAACCGAATTCTCTGAAATTTGGAACATTGGGTTCTTATTTGGTAGCAAATATCCAAACTAAAAATTATAAATATCGGTCCACTTTTCCTGGTAGCCCCCATATAACGGTACCCCCCAAATTTTCGTATTTTGGGGGTTTTGATCGCATTTTTTCATCGAATTGGCTGTTATTTAGTACTTTGAGGTCTTATTGGGTAGCAAATGTCTCCACTAAAAATTATGAATATAGATCCATTTTTTCGGATAGCCCCCATATAAGGGTACCCCCAATTTTCGGTATTTTGGGGTTCTTGAGCGCGTTTATCAACCGAATTTGCTGCAATTTGGTATTTTGTAGTCGTATATGGTAACAAATCTCCCTACCAAAAATTATTAATATTTGCCACTTTTTTGTGGGAGTCCCCATATAACCCCCTTTTTTATATAAAAATAGTTATCCGATTTGTTGTTGTAATCGTTTCTCCTGCGGAGTATATCGAGATAAAAAATAGAACGTAAGGTTCGATAATGAACTATATATGAACTATAACCCGCATTTAGGCCTAGCTCCTGTGTGGGAGGTACCAGAAGAAGTGGACCGATATTCCCCATCTTCGAACTTGAACTATGTTTGGAAGAAATAATATTTTCTGAAACAAATTTGGTCCAAAGAAACATCCTTAGCCAAAAAGCTGAGGGTATATTAACAATTAAAATTTTCTGAAATTTGTTTTATATTTTACAGTATGGTTTACGTAATCGGTTTGTAGAAATGTCGGTTGTATTTTTCCTATATTTTCATTTCAAGTACCTGTCAGTATATCTATGGTGGAGGGTATCCAAAGTTCGGCCCGGCCGAACTTAACGCTTTTTCACTTGTTAAAATTTGAAAAAAAAAATCTTTAGAAAATCCAGCTTTGTGTCGTTTATGCTGCCTCAAATATTCTTCGAGATTTTTTTAACCTCAACTGGTCATAAAGAAAATACAGTCGAAATCGTTTATAGCGACATATCGGTTATAACGGCTTATCCAAAAGTCCCCAGGAAGACTCAGCTGGTCCTAAAGAAAATATTCTGCTGATACTTTGTCGGAATAAATACTAGCTCAGTTTAGAATAAAACCAAATGTAAGGTTCTGCCGGTCTCTAAAAACAATAATTGTTTAAAAATCCAATCATTTTATACATAGTTGTACTGGAACAGTCCCTATATATTCTCCCATTGCATTTGATTTCCATTATTATACTTTTTTCGAAATATTTTTCCATTTTATTTTCCACAATTCACGAGAAATTGTTTTTGAAAAAGATAAAACTAGAAAAAAAGGACACCGACACAACGTAAACAAATGTGAATATAAAATATAAAATGTAAAAATGTAACTTTGTTGCAAATATGCATAACAATAAATGTCACATATACATATAACTGAAAATACACACACACACACACACCTACACATATAGTGATGTTCATACGACCTCCCTGCAAACATAATATAATGCCTATAAATATACGCTTATGATGGCAGCACATCACGGCAGTATGTCGGGTCGGATGTAGTCTGAGGGGGCTAACAATTTCACATTGAATGTTGCTAAAGTTATAAATAGAATTTTTACGTTAGCATATTTATATGCACATACATATATAAATAAAAAATGTATGTAAGCAACAACAACATTACCTTTTTTATTGTATCACCACCCCCATATGTCCTAAACATTTTCCTGTAATGTATTTTTTCTTACATCCTTTCGTTCTTCTTTGCTTGTTCCAGGATTTACAATCGGAAATTGAAACACATCGTGTGGTTTATGATCGTCTCGATGGTACTGGACGTAAATTGTTGGGTTCACTTACCTCACAAGAAGATGCGGTTATGCTCCAACGGCGTCTGGATGAAATGAATCAACGTTGGAATAATTTGAAATCGAAAAGTATTGCCATAAGGTAAGTTCGGAAAGAAAAAAATGAAAAAATATATACATACAATATACGATGAAAGAAAATATGTGAATATATAGGAAAATATATGCATGCGACATGAGGTATTGTTGTAAAGGTAAAAGGAACTACATACCGGAGACATCTTGACTCCCTATGTAAATTTTCTGTCCATGCAATTTCCGAATGGTAATTGATGAAGAAAATTGAGTTCCAATTTTTGGTTTAATAAAATTGTGGCCAAAGGCAGCAACAAAAGGGAATATTGAATATTTTACATTATTGTGTCCCCAAAAAAGAAGCAAGGACATGGTGAGATCCTCAAAGAAGCATGCTTGGAAAAAGCTCCTGGAAAAAAAATTAGTTGAAGAATTAAAGAAGAATTCCAAACATTCCAATTTAAAATGCTGAACTAATAAAGATCCTTCCAATATATTATAGGCCGCTTTGGCCTCGAAAAAATAATAAAAACTATCGCAGGACATGGATGTCCTTACAAAAACCTGAAAAAGTCCTGCCTAGGGGAACCTTAAAAAATGTTATTTAAAAAATTCAGGTCTGTAGCATCCTAAAAAATATTTACTTCAAAAATTCACATATTTAGGGCATTGAAGTCCTTGAAAAATGTTAACTGAAAAATCCAAGGCTGTGAAATCTTTAAAAACATATTATATTAAAAATGCAGAACTTTGGGGTCATTGGAAAATTTTTAAACTGACAAAAGAGGCCTGCAAATTCAAATATTTGCAGTCATTAAGAAAATTCAGGACTTTGGGATCCTTGAAAAATTATTTATTAACATATTCTAGGACTGTGCGATTCCTGGAAGAACAATATTTTAAAATTATGGACTCTTAGGTTCTTATCAAAAAAAATATCAAAAATATTTTAAACCAGTAAGGAAAGAAGTAAAGTCGGACTGGGCCGACTATCTGATACCCTTCACAACTTTGGGGATATTGTACATATGTATCGTAATAGACGTCGCCTTTCTAAAGAACATTGACATGAAATTGAACGGGCTTAAATATGCGATCTTTATCTATAAGTATTCCGACTAACATCAATTCCAACACATGCCATTTTGCAACCTACTCTAAATTGTGTAAATAGATTTAAAGCACACGCACTGTTTAAAATGTATCAATCAGGCACCCATTGATTATTTGGTGTACTACAGTCAACATGAATAGGTCGAAATTATATATTGAAGCTAATCTGAACCGATTTCAAGGAAACTTGCTAGACATTAATTTCTATTAATTTCTGTACGTGTATGGGTCTGTATGGGAATTTAGTGTACCATTTATATAAAATCGGACGAATATATATATATATATATATATATAGAAGGTATATGTAAATCTGAACCAATTTCAAGAAACCTTGACACACGAAAGGTTATAGTAACAGCACATTGTAGAAAAATGTGTGCCGATCGGCCAACCTTTGGCTCTTTAGTGCACAATTTAAATAAAATCGGTCTAAAATATATATTGACGCTATATCTAAATCTAAACCGATTTTCACGAAACTTAACACACATCATTCTAGACCTAATTCAGTACGATGTGCCAAATATCGTGTAAATCTAAAAATATGTAGGGACTTTGCTGCACCATTTACATTAAATCGGACGAAAATATATATGGGAGCTATATCTAAATCTAAACCGATTTTCAGGAAACTTAACACACATCATTCTAGACCTAATTCAGTACACTGTGCCAAATTTCGTGCAAATCGAAAGATATATAGGGACTTCGGTGCACCATTTACATTAAATCGGACCAAAATATATATGGGAGCTATAACTAAATCTGGACCGATTTTCAGGAAACTTAACACACATCATTTTTAACTTAATTCAGTACATTGTGCCAAATTTCGGGCAAATCGAAATATATATAGGTGCTTTGTTACACCATTTACATTAAATCGGACGAAAATATATATGAGAGCTATAACTAAATCTGAACCGATTTACACGAAATTTGGCACACATCATTCTAGGCTTAATTCAATACGCTGTGCCGAATTTCGTGCAAATCGAAAGATATTTAAGGACTTTGGTGCACCATTAACCTTAAATTGGACGAAAATATATATGGGGGCTATATCTAAATCCGAACCGATTTTCACGAAACTTAGCACAAATCATTCTGGACCTAAATCAGTACCTTATGGCGTATTTCGTGCAAATCGAAAGATATAACGACTTTGGTACCCCATTTACCTTAAATCGGACCAAGATATATATGGGAGTTAGATATAGCTGGATCTGACCCGAGTTTCTTCAATTTCAATAGGGTTCGTCCCTAGGCCAAATAAGTACTGTACTTACTACTGTACTTTGTTAACAAATATACATGGACGGACGGACGGATGGACAGACGGACATGCATAAATCGACTCAGAAAGTGATTCTATGTATATTCTCAAAAGGAACCATGGGTCTATCTCGATTATGTTTGCCTGTTACAAACATATTCACAAAGACATAATACCCTGTACCACACTGTGGTGAAGGGTATAAAAATCAAGACCTTTAGGGTCTCCCTGGCCAGCCATTTCTTAGCTCTTCTCTAAATATCGACAGGCCATACTGCCTGGCTTCGAGTCGTCTATAGAAATATACTCACATTCCAATAGACTCAGGTCGCGTATAAAATTAGACTCACAGGTCAGCCAGTTCGGATCAAACGGGTCTGTAAAAGTAAACTCAGCCAGTGGGCCTGAGCTTCGAAAACATTATATAAAAACCCACGCCTTATTCTGAGCCTTGAAAAGCTATTCTTTAAAAATCTACGCCTTTCTCACTTTGACAAGACCCTGAAGAAATATTTTTTTTAGAAAATCAACGTCTTGAAAAGACGCCTTCGAAAAATCCTGAAAAAGTCCACGCCTTGCAAAGACCCTGAAAAATATTTTTTAAGAAGTCCACGCCTTGGAAAGACCCCAAAAAAATATTTTTTAAGAAGTCCTCGTCTTGGAAAGACCCTGGAAAACTATTTTTTAAGAAGTTCACGCCATGGAAAGATCTTGAAAAAATATTTTTTAAGAAGTCCACGCCATTGCTAGACCCTAAAAAATGTTTTATAAAAATGCACACCTTGACAAGACCCTGAAAAATATTTTTTTGAAAATCCACGCCTTGGCAAGACCCTGAAGGAAAGTTTAGAAAGTCCACGACATGTCAAGCCCCTGGAAAAATAGTTTTTAAGAACTCCAAACCACGGCTAGACCCGGAAACATGTTCTGTAAAAAATCCACGCCTTGGCAAGATCCTGAACACACACATTTTTCTGATTTTTTTTTTTTTTTTTTGAAAATATTTTATATATTTTTTTTAAATGCACGCCTTGAAAAAATATTTTTCTTTTTTAAAACTACGCCTTAAAAAAATATTTCTCAAAAAATTTACGCCTTGACAAGGCTTTGAAAAAGTATTTCTTAAAAAATCCACGCCTTGAAAAGTTTAGAAAGTCCACGCCTTGACAAACCTCTGAAAAAATACTTTTTAAGAAAACACATTTTTCTGAAAAAATGTTTTTTTTTAGAAAATATGTTATATATTTTAGAAAATATGTTATATATTTTTTTTCAATTCGCGCCTTGAAAAAAATGTTTCTTAAAAAATTTACGCCTTGACTAGGCCTTGAAAAAGTATTTCTTAAAAAAATTACGCCTTGACAAGGCCTTGAAAAAATATTTCTTAAAAAATCTACACCTTGACAAGGCCTTGAAAAAATATTTCTTAAAAAAATTTAAAAAAATATTTCTTAAAAAAATTACGCCTTGACAAGGCCTAAAAAAAATATTTCTTAAAAAATCTACACCTTGACAAGGCCTTGAAAAAATATTTCTTAAAAAATCTACACCTTGACAAGGCCTTGAAAAAATATTTCTTAAAAAATCCACGCCTTGACAAAATATTTCTTAAAAAATCCACGCCTATAGTCCTGATAATTCTTTAAAAAAATTTCTTAAAAAATCCACGCCTTAAAAAATATTTCTTAAAAAATCCACGCCTTAAAAAATATTTCTTAAAAAATCCACGCCTTAAAAAAATATTTCTTAAAAAATCCAAGCCTTAAAAAAATATTTCTTAAAAAATCCAGGCCTTGAAAAAATATTTCTTAAAAAATCCACGCCTTGAAAAAATATTTCTTAAAAAATCCACGCCTTGAAAAAATATTTCTTAAAAAATCCACGCCTTGAAAAAATATTTCTTAAAAAATCCACGCCTTGAAAAAATATTTCTTAAAAAATCCACGCCTTGAAAAAATATTTCTTAAAAAATTCACGCCTTGAAAAAATATATCTTGAAAAAATATTTCTTAAAAAATCCATGCCTTGAAAAAATATTTCTTAAAAAATTGACGCATTGAAAAAATATTTCTTGAAAAATCCACGCCAGAATATTCTCTTAAAAATCCATGCCTTATTTGTCCTTTGGAAAATATCCTTAAAAAATCCATGCCTTATTAAACCTACTTTCTTCACATTGAAACCTATACAACAAAAATTCCAAAAAACATCGGAAACGGAAATGTAACCCAAAACAAAAGAACAACAATAATAGGTTAACAAAAAAACAAAAAGAATTTAATTTCCTGTTCCGAGTAATTTCGTCATCAAGACATGCTCATTAGAGACCGGCTTCACTCAACAGCAGAATCCTCAACATCATCTCCCCACCAACATTCCTTGAAATGGTATAGTGATATTGGTGGTTGGCTGTCACACTGCCTGTGATGATGACCTTCATTACCAACACCATCATCAAAAACTTTGGGAGGCATATCATTTGCTCTTCTAATACCCAATTATTTTTTTTTTGTGGTCGCGGTAAATTCTTTTCTGCTTCTTCTTCGTCTTCTCTGTTTGCGCCCAAAATTCTTGATACGCTTAAGTAAAACAATTAGTATTATTTTCCATTAGGCTGCAACCGTAAGAGGGTGTTTGTTGTTGGTTTTGCTGTGTCCAGATGAGTGATGCGAAAAATTAGAGAAAACCACAAGAAATGAAGAAAATGTGAAAATGCCCCGAGACAAGGACGATTGAGAAGTAGACATTTGAAAGGAATTAGGAATATCGTAAACGGAATAGCACATTGGCTGTCATTGACATTTGACAGTTTTTGTGGTTTAATGAAAACCAACACATAGACGATAACATATATAGAAGACACACACACACACACATCTCCGTACACATTAAAAGGCCTATAAAATACTCTGTGTGAATATTTACAACTACAACAATACGCTTATAATGGCATGTAGTTGTTGTTGTTGTTGTTACATTAATTGTTATGTCGCGTTCCCTGTGCGAATCAAGAAAACCCATTATTGTTGTCCCATCATCTTCATCGTCCTCCTGCTGTGGCTGTGATGTCCTAGGTGAGCAATGAACTCCATCCTGAAGTAATGACAAATGATAAATCCAGTATATCCGCCAAATGCACACTCACACATACCCAAACATGCTTTGTGTTTTTACTTTTCTTCTAGCAACCAACTATAAAATCCTCCTTAAGGGTACACCTTTACAGGTTGGGGAGCGGGGATGGAGTCAGATTATAAATGTTCTCTTTAGTGTGGCCATCCTGACAAATAATAATAGTAAAACTTAATGATAATGCTAATGACAAACATTTGTTTCATTGTCCACAAAAGGTGATGCTGGGGGTTTTTTGTTTGAAAATTAGTTGGAGATTAGCTGAAAAGGACAGATTTTAAAAAAAAATAGTATACAAGGAGATTAGAGATAAAATTGACATAATAAAATATAAGTCTTTATAGGCTAGGTAAAAGGGAGGTTCTTAAAGGTAGATAAGAATGAAAAACTTAAAGGAAAAGTAATTGGAAAAAAAATATTCTTTTTTTTTTTAAATCCACGCCTTGTTCTGAGCATTGAAAATTTTTTTTTTTAAATCCACGCCTTGTTCTGAGCATTGAAAAAAATATTTTTTTTAAAAATCCACGCCTTGTTCTGAGCATTGAAAAAAAAAATTTAAAAATCCACGCCTTGTTCTGAGCATTGATTTTTTTTTTTAAATCCACGCCTTGTTCTGAGTATTGAAAAAAATATTCTTTAAAAATCCACGCCTTGTTCTGAGCACTGAAAAAAATATTCTTTCAAAAATCCACGCCTTGTTCTGAGCATTGAAAAAAATATTCTTTCAAAAATCCACGCCTTGTTCTGAGCATTGAAAAGAATATTCTTTCAAAATCCACGCCTTGTTCTGAGCATTGAAAAAATATTATTTAAAAATCCACGTCTTATTCTGGGCCTTGAAAAAATATTCTATCAAAAATCCACGCCTTGTTCTGAGCATTGAAAAAAATATTCTTTCAAAACTCCACGCCTTGTTCTGAGCATTGAAAAAAATATTCTTTCAAAAATCCAAGTCTTGAACGCTGAAAAAAATGTTCTTTTAAAACATATGGCTTTTTCTGGTCCTTAAAAAATATGTCGTAAAAATCCACGCATTTTTCTGATCCTTGAAAAAATATATCTTAAACATCCTCGCCTTATTCTGAGCCTTGAACCCTGATTTAAAAAAAATCACATTCTATGGGACCCTGAAAAAAAAACGTTTTTTTTTTAAATCACGTTCTGATAATATATTAACAAAAATCATGTACTATGGGACCCTGAAAAAATATTAAGAAAATACCTCCTTAGGGACCCTGAAAAAAAAAATTAAAACCAGTAAGGAAAGTAGTGAAGTCGGACGGGGTCGACTATATGATACCCTTCACCACTTTTGGTATATTCAACAGTTGAATCTTAACAGACGTCGCTGTTTTTGAGGGATCAGTAAAAGAAATTGGACCCATAAACATATCTTCCTGCAACGTTACCACAAGAGAGCGAATTCGTGCAAATCGAATGATATATATTGGTGCATCATTTACATTAAATGGGAGAAAAATATATATGGGAGCTATATCTAAATCTCAACCGATTTTCAGGAAAATTAACTCACCTCATTCTAGTAGTCCTTATTCAGTACGCTATGCCAAATTTCGTACAAATCGAAAGATATATAGGGACTTTAGCACATGCACGAAAATCGGACGAAAGACATGTAGGGACTTTGGTACACCATTTACATTAAATCGGGCGAAAATACATATGGGAGCAATATATAAATCTGAACCGATTTTCAGGAAACGTAACACACATCATTCTAGAATTTATTCAGTACGCTATGCCAAATTTTGTGCAAATCGAAAGATATATAGGGACTCTGGCGCGCCATTTACATAAAATCGGGCGAAAATATATATGGGAGCTATATCTAAATCGAACCGATTTTCACGAAACGTAACATACATCATTCTAGATTTTATTCAGTACGCTATACCAAATTTCGTGCAAATCGTAAGATATATAGGGACTCTGGTGCACCATTTACATTAAATCGGACGAAAATATATATGGGAGCTATATCTAAATCGAACCGATTTTCACGAAACGTAAAACACATCATTCTAGATTTTATTCAATACGCTATACCAAATTTCGTGCAAATCGAAAGATATTAAGTGACCTTGGTGGACCATTTACATTAAATCGGACTAAAATATATATGGGAGCTATATCTAACCCTGAAGCGATTTTCCCGAAACTTAACACACATCATTGTGGACTTTATTCAGTACGCTATACCAAATTTCGTGGAAATCGAAAGATATGTAGGGACTTTGGTACACCATTTACAAAAAATCGGACGGAAATATATATGGGAGCTATATATAAATCTGAACCGATTTTCACGAAACTTAACACATATCATTGTAGACTTTATTCAGTGCGCTATACCAAATTTCGTGTAAATCGAAAGATATTTAGGGACTTTGGTGCACCATTTACCTTAAATCGAACAAAAATATATATATGGGAGCTATATCAAAATCTGAACCGATTTTCACGAAACTTAACACACATCATTGCAGACTTCATTCAGTACGCTGTACCAAATTTCGTGCAAATCGAAAGATATTTAGGGATTTTGGTGCACCATTTACCTATAATCGGACGAAAATATAAATGGGAGCCTTATTCAAATCGGAACCGATTTTCCCCAAACTAAACACATATCATTCTAGACTTTATTCAGTACGCTGTGCCCAATTTCGTGGAAATCGAAATATTTTTAGAGACTTTGGTGCACCATTTACCTTAAATCGGACGAAAATATATATGGGAGCTATATCTAAATCTGAACCGATTTTCACGAAACTTAGCACATATCATTGTAGACTTCATTCAGTACGCAATACCAAATTTCGTGCAAATCGGAATATATTTAGGGACTTTGGTGCACCATTTACATAAAATCGGACGAAAATATATATATGGGAGCTATATATAAATTTGAACCGATTTTTCCGTTACTTAACATACATCATTCTAGGCTTAATTCAGTATGCTGTGCCAAATTTCGTGCAAATCGAAATGTATTTCGGGACTTTAGTGCACGATTTACCTTAAATCGGACGAAAATATATATGGGAGCTATATCTAAATCTGAACCGATTTTTCTCAATTTCAATAGGGTTCGTCCGTGGGTCAAATAAGTGACGTATGCCAAATTTCATCCAATTCGTATCATAAATGCGACCTGTACTTTGTTTACAATTTAACATGGACAGACGGACGGACGAACGGATTGTGATTCTATGCATATTCTCAAAAGAAACCCTGGGTCTATCTCGTTTCCTTTTGCCTGTTACAAATATATGCACACAGACATAATACCCTGTACCACAGTGTGGTGAAGGGTATAAAAAAATTATGCCCATAGTACTTGAAAAAAAAATTTTAAAAAATCGCATCCTATGAGACCCAGAAAAAATATGATTTAAAAAAAACTACGTGTTATTATTATTCTTTTAAGTTTTTTCTTACTCCCTTAATATTTCGATTAAATCTACCTCCACGAATTATGTTCGAGGTCCTAGTTTTTAATTTTTTCCTTCTTCAAATTATTCCAAGAAATGTTTCATTATCCTAAACGAAAATTATGCCATCACATTTAATCTCATTCTTCTTCTTCGTTTTCTTTTCAATTTCAATTAATTCGTTCTTGGATAGTTTTTCAGGCCACTACTCCTTCAGGCTATAATAGATCTCCTTTTTTGTTCTAATTTTAATTCAACACATTTGGTGTGTGTCATCTAATCGTAGTAATTAAAAATCTCCTTAATCTTTGTCTTAATCTCTTATTTCAATTATAATTTTTTTCGAGCAATCTGTAAGTGTGTGTGTCATGGCACATAAAAGATGTCCTGTTAATGATAAGAAAAGAACGTATTTTTTTATGTTAGCTAAAAACATAAAAATGTTTCATTTCACATAAAAAAAGAAACTGAGAAAGAAAATATAATGGAAAAATTCCCAAGAATTGTGTCATAAAAAATATTAGAAAAAAAACATGCGAAAGTATGAAAGAAGGCTAGAAAGGAGTTTATGAGGAAAAAACGAAATTGCAAAAAATAAAGAATATAGACAAAAACTAAAAAAAAAATATCTTGTAATTTCTTTGGGGCAACATTTTGCCATGATTTCATATTATCACAGCTTTTGTTACATTTCGTTGGTTACTTAATTAATTTTGTTGTTTTTTTTTTACTCGTAATAGTTTGTGGTGTTAGTGTTGCATTCTTTATTAAAATGTGTAATTTTTTTTTTTTCGTTCCAGAAACCGCCTCGAAAACAATTCAGAACACTGGAATGCTTTGCTGTTGACCCTACGCGAACTTACCGAATGGGTCATACGCAAGGACACTGAATTGTCCACCTTGGGCATGGGTCCTGTACGTGGTGATGCTGCCAGCCTACAAAAACAATTGGTAAGTAATAAACATTTGATATATTAGAAATCATAAAGTAAATCTTAAAGTAATGAAAAAAAAAAATCGAAGCCTCACTTAAGAAATCCACGCCTGTTAATAGATCTTGAATAAATATTATAAAAAATAACGCCTTTGTAAAAATATTTTAAAAAAATCCGCGTCGTATAATTTTTCACAAATTATGTCAAATATGTATGTAAAAAATGACAAATTCTGTTTCAATTATTATTATGCAATTAACCGGTGAAAAATAAAAGGAAATTTATTTTTGATGACATGAAATTTGAACCAATTAAGCGGGAAAATCAATTAACAGGGTTTAATTATCCGAGAAAATTTACATGTATTTTCCTATGAAATATTTTTTGCCCCATCATGTGGTTCAATTAAGCGTGGAAACCAATTAACCGTAGGGTCAATTAAACGAAAAATACTGTACTTATTTCAGTAT